AAAATGATCCATTCTGCCTTTGCTTGAGAATCTTTACATATAAAAGACCATCTCATCTTTTACAACTTATAATTAAATTTATAGGATTTTTAAATATACCATAACTTCACTAGGTAGTTCATTTTTAAAATAATTTTTCTTCAGAAGATTCGTGGTCATCTAAAAATAAGTGATTATACTGTTTAACCTCCCCTGCCAAATCGATAACCTTTCAAATCTGAAACCTACCAAGTCCATTTTCATTATATAAATCTAATAGTTTATAACATTTTCAAATTTTAATATTGATACAAAATCTGTCCATCATGCATATGGATTTTGAGAGGTTCAAATACGTATTATATATAGTATTACATGCATGTAGTGATTGGCGTCGTAATCATGTGATGCTAATTGTCACATGATACAATATATAAAAATCAACAATTACTGAATTAGATTGTTGATTTTTATATATTTTACCACATAACAATTAGCATCACATTATTACGACGCCAATCACTACATACATGTTTTACAAATCGCAATGTGTGTTAAGGCAAAGATGCGAAGCAGACTTTTCAATAGATTTGTATGAACTTCGAATAAAGATACCTTAACAAAAACTTGACTAAATTTGATAAAATCTTTTTTAATTATGCAAAGTTTGCAGAATTTATATAAAATTTTTTATCAGATTTGATTAAGTATTTATTGTTTAAAGTTTTAAACAGCCCTTTTCTTATAAAATATTTGAATATTTACTGACTTTACTGACTTACCCCATATATTTTTTAAAAAAGCCCTATATTCAGTCTTTAAGTTTATTAAAGCTATATGTTAAGTTTTTCAATTAGATTCATAAAATTTTAGGTTATTGTTTTAAGATCTTATATTTTGTTCTAATAGTTAAAAATGAAATTGTAAGATCAAACTTAATTTAAAGAATATATTATATTTTGTTCTAATAGTTAAAAATGAAATTGTGAGATCAAACTTAATTTAAAGAATATATAGAAACCTTGGAGGTAAAAAAAATCATAGTACGAGAAAGTAGAACTATTTATTTCAATTTGAATTACTGATCAATAAATTCCATAATTGTGGTACGACAATAAAAAAATTAGTTAAGTAATTATGTAATATAGACGCGTTATTAATATGGGAATAATCAATTTTGTTACCGCATTTATGTAAGAAAACATATATCTTGACATTATTATTTTATAATATCTAATGGTCCAAAACCTCGGTTCAAAGTCTAATAGGCCGAATTGGTCTATATTTTTTAATGGATCTATTATTTTCTTTAAATAACTAACAAGTCCCTCGGTACTGTCCTTAATGCAACGTGTGGAATACGGATGATCATCCAATTGGTTAATCACCGACCAATGATCATCCATGACTATAAGTTGTAGTGGGCAATAAAAACAATTCCTTTCGAATTATGCCTTTGTCCTTTTTTAATGATAATTTACAGTTGCATAAATGAGTGCTGTCAATAGAAAACCTGTCATCGGGCTTTCAATGTTCAGTTGGCTTTCTGCATGTTATCTATGGGCAATCTATTCCGATGATAAATTGTCCATAGACGGCATACAGAAAACCAACTGAACATTGAAAGCCCGATGACAGGTTTTTATTGACAGCACTCAAATATAGAACAAGGAAATATAGTTGTAATAAACGTATGGCATTTACGGAAAGTAAAATACGATTTGAACCAAATTTCCTGATATGCTTAATTAAATTGAGGAATTTAAATAAAGTTTAACAAAGTTTTATGGTAATAATAAAAGTTTTGCACATCTGTTCGATATAAAGGGTAACAAGGTCAAAAATAAATTATAATAGAATAATTTGAAACCCAAATCGACATGTTGTTTCCAATGCCACACGATTAAATCCTATCAAAATATCATTTGAATAAATAAAATGCAATTGCAATTGGTTATACGTATCCGTTTACTCATTCGTTTACTCATTACATTCATTCCATTTATTATAAATGTTTACAGACTTAAGCGGAATTACTGTAATTTAGGTTATCTGATTTAGGGTTAGGGCCAAAATCGAGGGAATAACTGCCAGGGAAATTTTCTACAAACCCTGAGTTAAAATTAATGATTTCATATAATAAGAGTTTATTGCAAAATATTTAAATTCCAAATTAAGTCGCTAATTTTGATCATTATAATCATTTATAATTACAGATTGTCGTGGGATACTGAAATTTAGGGACCTCATTTAATTCTATAACACCTACTAAAATTCACATATACATTTTTACTAATAACTCTAACCCTAAAAAAAACCCCAAATTTTCATAATAAAATAGGTCAAAATTTCAGCATCAGCCGCGACACAGTTTACCATGGGTGCATATCTACTATTTAATTAATATGATAATTTATATTTTGCATTTAAAATTCTATAATTACTAAGACTAAATATTTATTAATGCCCCGCCATCATGATATAATGATCGGTGTATATCTTCTACAAATTTTAAATATTAGCGTATACAGTAAAACGTGACCCATTTAATCGATCCGATATTGTAAGTTAAAATGCTTAGGAATGATTTCAATAAGGTTAACAACGGCCACCTTTAAAATGTTATTGTAGTATTGACTGTTATAACCGTTTATTAATTTATGTATACGCATTTATTTGTAAGTTAAAAAATCGGCTGCACGACGGCGTCAAATATAAGCAAAATATAATGCACATAAATAATTATTCATATACAAATACTGTCTTCAGGGAGAATATTTCGTTGATTCGCTGAAACGTATTATCTCTAATGGGAGACTATAAATATGATAATTAGTTAACATGTTTAGAAGAAGTTACCGTTGTTTCAAAATTCTGTTCCAGTATATAATTAAGAAACATTTAAAGTCATATCCGCGGATTTACGAATTCGACCTTTTTTTAGAACCCTGAATTTAATATAATTATCATTTAATTTATACGTCTTATCTCTAAGATCTAATGGGTTTTGCGCTTATCTAATGGGTTTATTTATACTTGACCAGTGTTTGTCGATCATCTGACAAAAAACAAATATAATTTGGGGTCTTTTTTAAGGTCCAATTTTTGATTCCGTAAATCCGCTGATATGTATTGATTTTGCAATTGACTTTAAATTATATAACACTCAAGGACATTGGATTTTGAAAACGAAAATAGGTGATCCGAATCTAGATAATCAAGCAGCATAGTAGCTGTAATCTCTGACGACTAATATCAATTAAAGATTTGTTTAAGTAAAAGGATTTAAATACTTTGATCTATAATACTACAATGAATGACCTTTTTAAATCATGATTTAGTATTTTAATAGGCTTACTAATCTATCACAAACAACAAACGTTATTATAATGAGTCATAGCGTGGCATTAACATTATATTGTGAGATTTACTCATGTGAGCAGATCATGTAGATATGGCGATCACTACCCAAAAGGAGAAATATAGGATGAAGTGCTGAGTTGAAGTGGCTGTGCTGAAAATGGACAATATGAGGAAGACAGATAGAATTTAAAGGAAGGACAGGTCAAAAGGGCCCATATGATCTTATTGGATGAATTTGTTCTTTTTCTCATATATATCTTCTTGAGATATAAATTAACTGAAGGGAATTATGCATAAACCTAATCTTTGATTACACCCGAAGTGTTAACCGGCATGCTAGAATATTTAAGTCTCAATGAAGTGAAACAATCCCGAATCAACTGATACCACTCGCAAAATCTAAACGTTTCTTCCTAGAATTTTACTCAAAGCAGTGTAGTAATTACCATATTGTCAGAAATAATGTCACTTGGCGTTATTTGCGTACAGTTAGACTTCTTTCTCTAAATGCAGACCCTAAATGCACTACCTCTCTAAATGCAACCTTTAACCTGGCCAAATATATATTATATCAGTCCAATAAATGCAATTTCTCTAAATGCAAGGTAAGTCTGGTCTATTCGAGTTGTATTTAGGGAGACTTGACTGATAAGCGCATATAGGCGTACTTTTAGAACCATCTCTATATTTAATTATTTATTGAAACCCTAATATAAGATACGCGTCATAGAACGCGCATGGGCCCATTTTGAAATAATCCATACAATTTTAGGGGCCCTATTTTTTTAAATAACGCCCATGCCCATTATTCCACAACAATAAAGTAGTAATGGTCTATTGTTAGTATCGGAGATGGATTTTAACCTTTCAATATTTATAATAATAATCTTCCCAAAAAGTCACAAATGAAACGTTGATAGTGATCTTAGATTCGTAAAACTATTGATACGAGAATTATTACACAGCGATTTTGTTCAAAACATTCTATATTCCATATAACTTGCTTATTATGGTCAAACTAACCCAAAATAACAAAAATAACCCAAAAATAAAATCAAAATTGTATCACAAAATATGAGCATGATTTAACTATGTTAAAAAAAAATAATCAATTTATGCAAGCCTGCGAACATTCTTTCTGTTGTGTAAAATTATCTGTTTAGGAGAGACCAATTTAATTCGGTGGCTTACATTCCTCACTAAAAGGGAGGGAGTGAAAAAGGTAAGTATATAGTAAATTTTAAAAACTTCTACTTTCGGGAAATATCAGAAATTTTCTCGAATTTTTGTCTCGACTTGTATATTAAGCTCATTAATTTTCTTTTCGGAGTATCCATGTATATATACCAAATTCTTTTTACTAAGAAGGGGAGTAACTAAACTACCGAACTAAATTGACCTCGCCTTAATTTTTACAAATGTTTTTTTTATGCATTTAATATTATGCACTTGTTGTTTAATAAAGAATCGACACAAACTTTCTATTATATTCTCGAATAAATGCGACAATGAATATTCTATAGTGTAAAATAGACAAGCCCCTGAAAATACTACAGTACTAATTTTAGGAGTTTTAAGGTTAGGGTCAGCGTAGGATTTATAAAACAAGTATAAGTGGATTTAAGGGGCTAAATAAAAACCCTAAACTTTATTTTATTATGATCGTCATCTTCGATATTGCCTATCAAGTTCATACAAGTACGTATATATTACACAAATAATATTTTGATCAAATCGTGATATTTTTTGTTTCTAAAAACGGAGTTTTTCCCGAAGAATTCCGGGTTTTCCGTGGAAGCACTCAAGTTGTACTATCTGATCAAAATATTATTTTGTGGTTATGCATGAATTGATTATCCATTGGTATACAAAATCTATGAACAATATTTGTGGCGTCTAAATTTATCGACATTTGGGTCAATCTTTCGTATAGCGATAGGTGGCACAATATAGAATTATTATAAGATTATAATATATAAAAATAACTATTTGAACTAATTTAAACAAATTTATAAATAGTTAGGGTTAGGCGAGGGTTATATTTTAAATTAGAGTTAGGCTAGAGCTAGGTTTAGAGTTTTTTTATATTATAACCTTATAATATTTCTATATTGTGCCACCTATACTAAAGGAGATTCGATATACAGAAATAATATAGTAAATTTACTTTTAATATCATTATATAGTATTAGGAAATCGTACTAATTGCAGTAATATTAAAATAAGCAAATATTTATGCGAACCTCAAAAGGATTTAATGTAAAAATGAAGATATAGTTATGTTTAGGGCTAGAAAGAAAGTAATGGGTTTCAATAAATAAAGTTCATCCCCAACATTTTTAATCAATACCAGATTTTGATTCACAATAATTTTATTTTTAAAATTGTTTATGAACGATAAGGTTGTATGCCGACCGACGTCTATAACTTACTGATTATAAAGTAGCTTATCAATTCGATTATCAGATAATTTTCTGCCTCAAATTAAAGTTTACTGTTCGAAAAGACTGCTAAGCAGTGATGCATTAGCAAGCGATGATCACATGGGTGATCCTGGTTCCAAAAGAGAATCTGGTATATTAATATTAATATAATATGCAAGGGGAGATAAATATAAATTTAATGAAATTATTAATTTAGGAGTTTATGGCGCGAATACTAATATAACCAAATTTAGCAGGGAACGTATGACAATAACATACAGATATAAAACGGAAGAGCGGTAGGGCAGCACGACAATAGCCAAATCAATTTCAAACCCTGCCCTACCCTCCCTCAGTAGAATCTTGCCATATTGTGGCAGCTTAAACGTTTCTTTACGCGTTATTCAGGTGGAAAACCACTGGTTAAGATCATGTGACCACAAAGTTTCTGGCTAACCAATTATACGTCAAACGCACTGATGTATGCTATATATCTCTGTCAATTATACATCAATTGTACTGATGTATGCTATATATATCTTTAATTATACATTAAGCGCACTGTTTATGCTATATATCTCTTCAACTATGCATCAAGCGCACCGATGTATGCTATAACTACCTAATAAAGTTTGAATATCCAGCGCTATTAGCGCTGGAATGCATCCAACAATTATATCACATGCGTGCAGTTCTTTTCTATTTATAAAAAAACGATTCTACCACAAAATCCCGACACTCAAAATCCGAAAATACTAAAAACCCTAATATTTTAGTGTTGTCAGGATTTTAACCTGATGGGATTTTGGTACTTTTGGGGTTTTGAGTATCGAGATATTGGATGTCGGGGTTCTGTGGTAGAACCGAAAAAACACTCGTTTATCCGAACAAAATATATCCTCAGATTGGCCATCTTCCTTTTTTAGGTCGCATTAATATGCTGATTGTCCTGTCTTCCTTTTCAGGTCGCATCATTATGCTGATTGTCCTATGTCACGAACCCTTCGTTTATCCGAACAAAATTACATCCTCAGATTGGCTATTTTCCTTTTTCAGGTCGCATCAATATCCTGTCTTCCTTTTTAGGTCACGTCAATATGCAGATTGTCCTGTGTTATGAATCCTTTGTGAAATAAATAAATAATTTATTCTCATTTTATTTTTTTTTTATATTCGGTTTTTGTTTCGGTTCATTTTTCATGATATGTACCTTTATTATTTGTATACTGTCCCGGGTTTAGTTCAAATTATGTCCTGTTGATCCGAAACGGTTCGCCCAGAGGAATTTTAGTTTCGCCCTATAAGTCCGAAATCCTCCGAAACTAGTTTCGCCCCAATTTGATTTGCAAATGATCTGCAAAATCGGGTTTCGCACAAAACACTTGTTGTGAGAATGCATCCACGGAATTAGGGATGAGTTCGGTCAGCTATTATCAACTATTGACTAATAGCCGGCTATATCGGCTATAGCCGATCAGTTACTTGACCAATTTCTCAATCAATTTTTTTAAAAATTAAATTAAATATACAAACAAGTATGTTTTTATGTTATAGAATATTAGAGTACCCAGACATGGTGATAAAATTTCGGGTCACGTACTAAAAACAGCCAATACCAGGAATGTAGTAATGCTGCATCACGAATTGTATTGTTTCTCGCCATCTAGAATGACGAGGTCGAAAAATCCTGCATTTGATTGGGCGTTAAAAATTTATGATTTATACAGCACAGTTCGTGTATGGAAATACCGGATTTGGTTTTAATGTTACTCTGGGATACGTATACGTAATATCATATGATAGAACAAATTAGGTGAGAATATGTTACATCTAAAGTAGCAATTTATCTAAAGTAACGCCTGACTAAAATTAAGCCCCTGAATTAGAACTTCATGCATGCGTTAATTCGTAATTTTTGTCAGGGCGTAGCTTTAAATATGTAAAGTAGCTACTTTCAATAAATCACTACTTTAGATGCAACCAATATATCGGATTACAGAATACTGGAGCATCAGTATGGTATGGTATCCTGAACTAATGATTCCTGACGAAACTATTTCTCAATGACGAAATGGTTTCGTCAACATACTTGTTTGACGAAACCTTGGCGATTGACGAAACTCATGACGATTGATAAACACTTGACGAATCAATTTGACCAGTGAAAAATTATAATACAGCTAACTCTCTTTCAACGAGCTTCTTTGCACCAAACTTTGGATACAGAATGTTAAGATTTTTCAAAATTATAATCCAAAGTTTGGCTCGTCAATATCAAAAACACAGTAAATTTAATTGATAATGAACTGTTTTCTTGCCAGATCATGAAGCCCTTGATGCTTCCATTAATCAAATGAGATTTTTTTCGATGAGCTACTTTACAATGAACTACGGATACACTAAACCTTTAATTATTTTTCAATTTAATGTTAATCATTGTAACGATGTTTATTTTATTGGTCTTCTCCGTCGGCCAATCGGGCTCTTTCGGGAGGTAAAGCTTTCTTCGGGTAATTTCGGCTAAATGTGTCATATAAAAAATTGAAAAATGCGTAGATAAAATAATGCAAAAAGAAAATAATTAATGTTATATATACTGATTTATTTATATTATGAAAGAAAATAAGGATATTATATGCTTCATCAATCATCATCGTCTCATCACTCGTCATAGGTTTCGCCATTCGTCAATTCGTCATTCAGAAATAGCTTGATGAAACGTTTTGTCATTCGTCAGTGACGAATGACGAATCACTCGTCAGGTATCATTATCCTGAACAGTCTGGTAAGGGGTGTACAATAACTCATCCCATACTTATCAGCTATTATATATAATAGCTGTTCAGTATTGTACAGTGAAAAATTGTGACTTAATCGTTTAAAGCTAAATCTAGCTAAATCCAAACACTCCAACAATTAATCTACAATCCAAAGAGCCTAAAGACTTCGAATTGGCAGGCAGAAAGAGGCGTGGGAGACTTGATCCGAGTCTCAAAGTCTTTTCGAGTATTGTTCTAGGTGCCGCACGAAAAATGCGCGGCAGATCCTCGATTTTGATTGGCTAATGGCCGAGGTTCTTTAAATTTTGGTCCGCATTACATAATTGTTTACTAATTTCCAGCCGGAATTAACTTTTTAAAATTGGAAAATTTTAAAATAATAAGCCAGCATTATGGTAAAATTGGTCCAGAAACAATTTTCACTTAATGGGCAGCTGCGATTTCATTAGTGAATTATGAGTAATTCCGGCCTAATTTTTTGATTGTCGCTCTTAGCCAATCAGAGGCAAGGATCTGCCGCGCATTTTTTGTGCGGCACCTAGGTTCAATATACCAAATAGATGCGCCAAAAATTGTTTTAACTTTGATCAAAGATATCTCGACACCTAACTAATCAAATTTAATAAGCTTTTTTTGTTTGACTTCTACTACTTTCTACAATTGAAATAAAAAAAAGTTTGTTAAATTTAGTCAGGTAGGTGTCGAGATATCTTCGATCAAAGTTTGAAAATTTTGCAAATAAATTAAAATGATCTACATTAATGGGGTATAGAAATATCAATTCCCTTTAATTTATTTTGTATTATAATATCTGTCAGTATGGTATGTTTTTTAAACTATAAACCGTACCATACTGACCAGCTATTATATATAATAGCTGATAAGTGTAGGATGGTTTATTGTACACCTCATATCAGACTGTTCAGGCCGCCCATACCATACTGATACTCTGTAATCCCGAATACATCTATTAACAGAATGCTTAAAAATCAAACTACGTTTATTGCAATTTATTTAATACATGAATTCGATTTAATTTAATATTTTATTTTAGTAGTATCAATTCACCAACAATTATTTCACGGACAACTTAGTTGCAAAAAATTAAATTAAATGTAAAGTTATTTTACAGTCGATTAATTCACAGATATGTTTGTTTCATAGACAGATAGTTAACCGATATCTGATTTCAGAGGCAAATTAATTCTAGAAATTGGCGTTAGGGTTAATATTGTTTACAAAATGAGTTTGTCTGTGAATTGACCGTCTTAAAATAATCTTGTCTGTAGATTAATGTACATGAACTAAGTTGTCTATAAAGTGTTAGTGAAATAATATGTGTAACAGTAGGCATACTTAATTATAAATTTTTATCCTGTTTTGTTGTCCGATTATATGAGAATTGTAGAATTTAAAAGCAGTGACTAATAAGCAAGGCAGCCTAATCGTATTTTTATTTTCTCTCAATTTTTTTACCTTGTCCACACCTGTGTCTAAATCGCCCTCTTCCAACAGTATGATCAAAAATAAATAAAGGATGGGTATGATAAGGCAACAATTTATGATATAACTAGAGATGGGTTTCATGCGTGCGCATGATTCCTCAATCGTGCGAATTAATGCGCATTCATGCGCATGATTCGGAATCAT